AAAAATGAAAAAAACAAAGAAGCATGACTCTTACAAATAATCCTTCAAACTTCCACTAAATCACAAGAATGGCACTCGTGTAAAATTCGCCTTCGACCCAAAATTCGCCAACACAGGGCCGAATCAGATCGAACACCATTTGGGTTAACAAAAATGAAAAAAACAAAGAAGCACAACTTTTCCAAATAATCCTTCAAACTTCCACTAAATCATAAGAATGGCACTCATGTAAAACTCGCCTTCGACCCAAAATTCGCCAACACTGGGTCGAATTTATATCGACCCCATTTGGGTTAAAATTGTGTTCAATTGTCATTAGAGCAATTAGTTACAAAATACAAAATTCGTTAACACCGAGTTCAACTCGCTTTAACCAGGTCGAATCAGGTTGAATGGTCATTGATTTAAGTGTGTAAAACTCGTTGTTTAGCTAGGGCACGGGCAAGTTTTTAAAAAATTCACACTGACCAAACTAGTCAATTAAAGCGTGCAAAATAATTCTCGACCCATAATTCATTAACGCTTTAACCGGGTCGAATTAGTTCAAATACTCGTTGATTAAGCATGTAAATCTTGTTATCGATCCAAAATTCATCAACACCGGGTTCAACTCCCTCAGTAATAAAAAGAAATTTTAAAACAATAGCAAAGGCAAATAGGTGAGTTTTTCATAAAGTCACATCGACCCAACCTGCCAATTACAATAGCATGTACAACTTGTTCTCGACCCAAAATTCGTCAGGCCAATTACAATAGCATGTACAACTTGTTCTCGACCAAAATACCCGTTGATTTAAGCATGTAAATCTCGTTGTCGATCCAAAATTCATCAACACCGGGTTCAACTCCCTCAATAATAAAAAGTAATTTTAAAACAATAGCAAAGGCAAATAGGTGAGTTTTTCATAATGTCACACCGACCCAACCCGCCAATTACAATAGCATGTACAACTTGTTCTCGACCCAAAATTCGTTAGCACCGAGTTCAACTTACTCTAATCTGGTCGAATACCCATTGATTTAAGCGTGTAAAAAACATTGTCGACAAACTTTTTGTCACAGGTTCAACTCGTATTAACCGGGTCAAATTAGGTGGAATACCCATTGATCTAAGCGCGTAAAACGAATTAGATCGAATACCCATTGATTCAGGTTCAATTTGGACTTAATTGTCATAAGTTAGTTAATTAGAATCAATTTGGATTCAATTGTCATAAGTAAATTAATTAGAACCTCAATGACATCTAAACTCCTCCAAACTTTGGTTAATATCCATAACGGTCCTTGGATGTGACTCTAAGGAATAGTAAAAATCTTACTTGTTCTTTTAATAAATAATAATAATAATAATAAATAATAACATAATAATAATAATATATACATCCGGGGTTTAGTGTTCGATTTATAGGTCGGCGTAGCAATAGGGTAGCCCATATGGTGGCTAGAAAGGCCCTCTCTTTGTACCCGACTATGAGTCGTTATTTTGATTTTCAGGCCTGGCTGATTTCCAGGGTGTAACTGTCTATCGTTTTTAATCCAATTCTAGATTATCTTTTGACAAAAAAAAAAGTTTCGACTGCCTCGCATGTTCAACTTTCAACCTTAAAAAAAAAACCCCCACAACTTTCAAGTGCAAGTAAACATTTGTAATTTGAGAAATAGAATTAACTTCATTAATCAGTTATTTTTTTGTTAGAAATTCCATTAGTTGACAATCCATCAACAACTACAACTAAGTATGGGGTCGTTTGGTTTTGGTGATTGTTTGGTTGAGATAGTTACAATACATGTATTGTCCACATTAATGCATCTTTATGCTGCACAAACAATACATGCATTGTTTGTTTGATGTCACATAAACTATCACTCAAAATGATTGATAGTTAAATCTCAAATTTTGTGTGAGATTGTTTGATTGAGATTATTGTGTGTATTTTTCTTCCAATTTGGTCCCTACCTTTTTATGTGTCTTGCTTTTTTATGTTACAAGCAAAGGGTAAAAGTGACATTTCACCCGAAAAGTAAGATAACTCATTTCAATAACACAATAACTATCACATAAACCAAACGATGTAAACTACAATACACCAATTTTGTTATATACATATATATTACTAGTTCTTTACCCGCCCGTTGGGAGGTACATTATATTTGGTTATTTTATAATTTGTTATAGTATTCTAATTATTATTATTTATGTTTGTTGAGCTAATATACATGGAATTGTAAATCTCACTTAATTTATTTTAGATAATGTTTCATACTTTTATCTTTTTTTTATTTATGAAAAATTTAATTGTATTAACTGAGCTCTCTGTAGATCGTTCTTTATCGATTTAGAATTTTGTATCAAACTAAAAATAAGTGATAAAGAAGTTATAAAATTTAAGGCCACAAACAAAAAAGTTAGAATAAGAAAATATGATTCAATTAATATAAAAAATAAGCAAAGAACTTTTCATTTTCTTTCCCTTCTCATATGTCCGTATATGATATTGATAATAGAGAATATTCTGATCTAGATCCCACGAATATCGTGTATTATTAGTTACACCTGCAATTCCGGAATAATGATGAAACACATAAGTATCCACATCTATCAATCTTCCGCATACTCATTTAATTTATCTTGGCAATGTTCTAGCAAAACCAACAACAAATAGAACTATCAGTTGTCACTAATTTATTAAAACAATATTTTCAACAAACTAAACTGCATATCAACACAATTCATATTTTATCGAGAGCTACGTATCTCCTGCAGAAAAATTGTGTTTTTTAACCTAATAACAACATAGACAAATAATGAAAGGAGCATACTTCAATACAACTCAACTCATTCTATCTTGCAGATTCCTAATTTGTGGACTGAATTTATGCACCAATCCAAATAGTAGTTGGTAAGAAAACAATCATGTCAAAATCAAGCTTTAGTTAGGGATTCAATAAGGAAAAATCTACCCTAATGAAACAAACAAATGTTATTGCAAACATGTAGGAATTGAAAAAATATCGAAATACACAACCGAGGAACCCCACCATCATTTTCTTTCTTCTTCGCGACCTTTATAAAACCCCAATTATGTTTCCTTCTATTTATAATCCATTTGCTACCTACTAATTACTAACCATATTATCATCTTATAGCTAGCTAGTAGCATGTCAATCATGAACATAAAGAATATAATCAACAACCCTCACAACTCTACTTTCCACTTCAACATCTAAGGAATCGGGTTGCAATAGGCATTTAAGGAAAACGATCAATTATTCAAAGGAGATATGCCCTAAGTCCAACCAATTATCCATTCTAATTATATATTACCTATTTACATGAAAGTATATGATGTAACGTAATAGAGAACATAAAACAACTCCGTGAAAACGAAGAAGAAATACATTCGATCATCGAGTGGGGAAATTTACCATCCAACAGTCTTAATTTGAAAGAAATTAAGAAAAGAATGGGAAGAAGAGTGAGCAGTTACCAACTTCAGATCAATGAGGAAGAGGAAGCAGTCGACAATCCTCGATTTGGTTCACCTCGTCTTCGCAATGATAGGATGAACTATTTTCATCAAAAGGTAAAAATATGTTACAACTACTCAAACTTTTGCCATCTAATCGTTGCCTCGCTTACCACCCTCCTCCTATTCTCTTACAAAGAAAAAGAAACTTCATATGCATTACCATTTCCTTCTCTATCTAATTTCTTATTTTCAATGTTGGATTTTATTTCTAGAGAGACAATCAAAATGGGAAAAAGGTAGAGATAAATTAAAAGGTTGCATTCGCAATTAATATGTTTTCATTTAATCGGAATGAATAAGAAGTGTTTTAAAAAAATAACAATTATTGCTCTGTCAAGTTTAACTTCAGACTTTTTTCTATATAAATTATACTTGTTTTATTTTATAAGTATATGCATTAGGAAGAAGTGAGTGTTTGATACCAAAAAATATATAGTCATATAGTTCATTTTTCAAAGTCGATTGATTGTCAAACACTTATTTTCTCTTAGGCCATCATTTAAATTTTGTTTAATTGAAAAATTATTATTCATATGTGTGCTTGTTTTCTTTTCCATCAAAATGTAACTTATTAGAAAATTTAGTAAAACTGAATAAAATTTTTAATTAATGAGATTTAATAAGATAATTTTGGGTTAAACAAACACTATATATGTCCCTCTCTATTTTCATCTTCATAGTTTGTTTAAATGGAACAAAATATTATTACTTATGTATGTTTGTTTGTTTAAATGTTTCACAAAAAATGTAACTTATTTTAAGTTTTAGTAAAAATGAGTAGAATTATTAAAAGAAGAGAGAGATAGCTCCATAAATAGATTAATAAATAAATTTTTGTTTGTAAAAAAATTGTCCACCTTGGTATCTTGTGAATTCACCAAGTGCTTATGTGGCAAGAAGTTACTTTTGAATAGCCATAATATTAAGTATAGATAGATAGATAGATGAATATAAATAGATAGATAAATTATACATGAATTAATAATAATACATCTATTTAACTATCACAAACCAAACGACTACAAACGCAAGTACAATTGTTTGTTATATCAACCATTTACCTTCCTCAACAGTATCAAACCCTTTAGCTTTACATGTGTCCTAGCTAGGCACGGGCGCACGGCACATAAGTGAGCTAGCTAGCTAGCCGTCTCCCCCGTTTTCCTTAAATAGTAAAATATATATCTCAAATCTCAACAGTTACAAAGCCCCCAAAAAACTTTGTATTTGTTTTGTCTTTCACTGAACCCATTTCCCTAAATAACATCAGTAAATTAAAAATATAGCTCCATATATAGTAGGAAAGTGGGCTAGAGAACTAGCACTTTTCCTCATTTTAATGAACACCTTTAAAGGAAATGATGATGACGTGGCCAGAATATGGTTCTTTTTCCCTTGGGCTCCTGTGGAATATAAAAGCACTGGAATGCAAGGATAGCATACCAGAGACCCACTCTGCTTCATTAATAAACCACACACAGAAGAGAGAGAGAGAGAGAGAGAAATCATGAGGATGGGAGTGGAGGTCCAAGATACGAGCTTTGCCGCCGTCGCAGGCCAAGAGAACGTCTCCGGCCGGTCACCGGGGCCAGCCAGCTCAAGATTAGCCTCTCTCTTGGGTTCTAAAGAACGCGATTATCTCCTCTCCCGAGATGGAACTCAGGTAACTAACTACACACAAATTATCGGCACCATACTTTTGCTTCTTCATCAACTGCGCCAAGTACAGTTATTTGATAGTGGTAATGGTTTGAATCTTCTTTTCGGATTCTGGTGGTCGTACACGGTGCTGGATAGAATGGGATCAAGATAGATTCTTACTCTTTTCTTGCTGCTTAAAATGAAATCATCTTTGCTCGCGTTGGATTAGGCTCCACTAGATGCCGTTGTACAACAACCGAGAAAGATCCGAACAACAGCTAACGACGGTCTAATCTATTGAGCTTTTCTTTTTCCTACGATTATCAAATATACAATATATTGCTAGAAGTTATGGAAAACAGCATAAGCCAACTCAAATGCTCAATATTATCGCTTGCAGGTACGAGTTTAAATGTTCGTGAGAAACTGAGTTTTTTTTCTTCTTCTCGTGCATAAGATGATATGAGTATTTTTTGTTTACCGAGACTTGGAGTTGCAAATTTTTGTTTTGATTATTATGATGTAGGCGATGAAGTGAGTGACCAACCCAATGGGTGGGTCAAAAGCTCGTCCACGGCCAAACACGTGTAGGGTTTTGCTTTTGTCACTTTGAGGAAAAACATAAGTTATTGTATACCTTACTCTCCACCTGAAAATAATTATGAAGCTTTAACTATTAGTGATGAGGTGTCAGTCATGGATCAAGTCTTCTCAATAATGGGAAATATAATTATGAGGATTAGTAGCTTTAAATCATGTGGTTTTTCAGCTAGTTCTAATTTAATTAATTAATACAATCCCTTTGTGCTTGTATATTTGACTTTTTATTTGTTATATGATCCGATAAAGGGTACCGTACTTAGGACTAATATCTTTGATTTAATAATAAATAAATAGATGAAATGATTAATAGTGAGTCATCTTGTCAATCTTTTGTTAAAATTTTTAAAATGTGTTGATTAGAACGATGGGCTTTATACGGCGGACACGTTTCTGTGTAGTTATGATCCCGTGACCAGAAAGGCCACCAGCCCAAATTCTGGGCCAAAAAGTACACGCGTCCATCTCCCTCCCCAAATCTCTTCTTTTAGGAAGACACTCACGTCACAAGTACAACCACGTGTCCTCCTTCCAACCGCTAACCCACCTGCATTTGGCAAAATCTTTTTGTTGGCTCCTACTTCCTTTTTTTACTTTTGTCGTTTCCCAAATCAGGGCCCAAAATTATGGGCTTTTCAGATTCTTGATGGGTTCCCTGTCAGTGCTTTAAAAGGTTCCTTGCCGGGCCTTCCACTTCTGTCGGTCCGTTTCCTTCTGGTACAATGCAACTTGCAATGGGGTTCGTGGCAATTTTTTCCAAATTAGCTAATCCTAACATTACTATATGGAGGTTCTTGGCGAGAACCCCATAATCTCCCTTTCCCAGCTTTATGCGCAGTCCATGGAGGGATAGTTTGGTAATTTCTCTCTGCATTTATCGACCGCATACTTGGACCAGGGACAATAAAGGACAGATAATTCTATTAGGTGAGCCTCCTATGTGGTTTGTTCCCAATTCCAGAAAGGATACGGATTAGGGATGGCAATGGGCCGGGTTGGGTCGTGTTTTGCCAAACCCAAACCCATGGGTTTATCCATGAAAAAAATCCGGGGTAAAACCCACTGGGTTTGAAAAACTCAAACCCAACCCAACTCGCTGGGTATCCACGGGTTCATGGGTACCCAATGGTTTTGGTCGTAAAAAAGTAACAATAACAAATTCCTATCAAAATTAAAGTCAAATATCAATTTCCCAATACAAATTATCCATATATAAAACACCACTCTAGAAAATTCAAGCAAATCACAAATTAACTATACAAATTGTTCAACATCAATCTAGAAAACTCAAAAAAATTGAAGCAAATCACAAATGATCCATAAATAACATGATTAATTGAAAGCATTTCCTTTTAATTAAGTTTTTCAATATCCACTCGATAACATCAACTTCATACTACATAACTAGAAAGAAAAAAATTAGACATGTCTCCACAAACATAAATAAGATTAGTTGTTTAGAATATTAAATATGCCGAGAAAATTAATTATATGGGTGTGGGCGGGTACCCATGGGTCGGGTTTACCTAAACCCAAACCCAACCCAACCCGGTGAATAGTGAACGGGTTTAAACTCAAATCCTGTCCAAAACCCGTCAACACGGATTTTAACTAAATGATTACAACTAATCAATCAATTACCTTAACCCCTAAACCTTCAATTTTGAACACCAACCCAAAATCCCAAAATGTGACCCTAACCCTAAATCCCTAAATCTGAAATCCTTCAAATCAAAGATATATTTAATGATTTCTTTTGTAAATTCATGGGGGTTCATGTCTATCATGTCACGAGTAATGATTGACATCGTTTTGAAATGAATCGCTTATTCAAAATAGCGATTATGAGGCGGGTGCACTGAATGCACTAGGGGTGGGAAACGGTGCGGTCCGGTCCAGACCAGACCATAGATACGGTCTGTGGTCCAGACCGAGAGGTTGGAACACAGACCATGGACCAGACCATATACTATACGGACCAGACCAGACCACACCTGTGCGGTGCGGTGCGGTACAGTCTGGACCAGACAGACCATATTAAAAAAAATTAACTCTTGTTCGTCCTCCAACCCTTCGCCGTGTAAAAACTGAAAAGTAACGCAGAACACAAACGATTTACGTGGTATCCCCGTTCGATGTGAACGGGACTAATCCACGGAGAAGAAACTCTTCTCGGTTCTTTCTTATTATTATGACTGCTGCGTACAAATTACAAGGAGAATATGCAACCTATAAATACTTAACCCTAATGCCACAAAACCTAGGGCTAAGCCGTAGGAACCATAGTGGCAAAATGTCAAAATGGTCCCTACTAAAACACAGCGTATCCTTTACCCCCCCCCGCAAGCGGAGCATGCAGGTCACAAATGCCCAGCTTGGAGAGGAGATAATGAAACTGATCACTACCTAAACCTTTGGTGAAGATATCAGCGAGCTGATCGCGAGAGGACACCTTGGCAGGTAGAATGGTGCGCGCAGTGACATGGTCCCGAACGAAGTAGCAATCAAGTTCAACATGCTTAGTCCGTTCATGAAAAACCGGGTTGACAGCGATGTGCAGAGCTGCCTGATTATCACAGTGAAGCGGAGTAGGGCCAGGTTGGGAGACACCCAACTCAAGAAGAAGGGCTCGAAGCCAAAGGACCTCACTAACGGCACTTGCCATAGCCCGATATTCGGCTTCAGCAGAAGACCGGGCAACAACTGTTTGCTTCTTGGTGCGCCAGGAAACCGGAGCACCGCCCAAAAGAATAAAATACCCAGAAGTGGATCGTCGAGTAAGCTGGCAGCCAGCCCAATCAGCATCACAATATGCTGTCAACTGAAGATTACCAGAAGAAGGCAGCAAAATACCCTGACCTGGGGCATTCTTAAGATAACGGAGAATCCTGTCTGCAGCAACAACATGAGCAGGAGACGGGTCATGCACAAAGCGGCTAAGAACATTAACGGCATAGACGATGTCAGGACGAGTGACCGTCAGGTACTGCAAACGACCAATCAAACGTCGATAGGCCGACTGGTCAACCTCAGGAGACGAGGCAGTGTCACTGGCAGTGACTGGAGAAGCACGGGTTAACTGATGATTCTGTTCAATGGGCGTGGAACTCGGGCGCCCCCCCGTAAGCCCTGCATCCTGCAGTAGATCAAGTGTGTACTTACGCTGGCTCAAGAAAATACCTTTCTGTGAACGAGCAACCTCAATCCCCAAAAAATATTTAAGAGGACCCAAATTCTTGATGCCGAACTGAGCATCCAGGGTATCCTTAACTGTCTGAATAAAAACATCGTCATCACCAGCAAGAACAACGTCGTCAACATAGATAAGGGCAGTGACAAAGCTAGTAGCAGTTCGTCGAACAAACATCGAATAATCAGCACGAGAGCGAGTAAAACCCATCTCTAACAAAGTCGAGGTGAATTTTGCATACCAGTTGCGTGATGCTTGCTTCAAACCGTACAAGGATTTATGCAAGCGACAAACTCGTGTGTCACCAGGAGCAGCAAATCCCGGAGGAATCTTCATGTAGACCTCCTCCTCAAGATCACCGTGAAGAAAAGCGTTGTTCACGTCAAGTTGATGAACAGCCCACCCACGAACAGCGGCAACAGCCAGTAAAGCTCGAACACTGACCAGCTTGGCTACCGGGGCATACGTATCATGATAATCAATGCCCTCAACTTGCGTGAACCCTTTGGCGACAAGCCGGGCCTTGTAGCGCTCCACGCTCCCGTCAGGCAAGTATTTAATTTTATAGACCCATTTAGGAATGATGGCTTTCTTTCCCGGAGGTAATTCCACAAGGGACCAAGTATGGTTCGCCTCCAATGCCTTCATTTCACGTTGCATGGCTGCTCTCCATTCAATATGGCGAATGGCTTCATGAAAGTGATTAGGCTCGGGAACCTGTGACACGGAAGCAAGAAAAGCTTGATGGCCTGGGGAGAAAGCATGATAGCTGACCTGGCGTTCAAGTGGATGAGGCACATTTGAAGGTGGTAAATCCGTCGTATATACGTCGAGGTGACGAGGTACCGTGCGTGTGCGCAAGCTGCGGCGCACGGGTGGCACTTCTGGCGACGTCCTCGCTGCTGCATCGGGAGGATCCACCTCCAAGGAGTCATGCTCCAAATCAGAAGCAGCTGAGTCATGTTCATCGGCCACAGCTGCCACTTCCCGAGAAAACACGTCATCATCAGGAGGAATATCAACGACGGGAGGGGAAGGGGCCTGTGGAACAGCGGCCGAGGGCGCTACAGAGCTCCCAGCCGAAACATGAAATGGAAAAACATGCTCAATGAATATCATGTCGCGGCTAACGTAAAATCTCCGAGCCGCAGGGTCCCATAAGCGGTAGCCCTTCTGATGCGCGGGGTAGCCAACAAAAACAGAAGGACGACCACGTTCAGCAAACTTCGAGAGCCCTTTATGCGTGTCCTTACCATAGGCTAAGCACCCAAACACTCGAAGATGATCATAAGTCGGAAGACGACCAAAAAGAAGTTCATACGGACTACGATTCCCAAGAACCTTGGAAGGCAACCTGTTGATCAAGTAAGTAGCAGTAAGAACCGACTCGCCCCAGAATTTTAACGGCAAATTCGCACGAAACATCAAGGCACGAGCAGTCTCTAGCAAATGACGATGTTTACGTTCAACCACCCCATTTTGCTGTGGGGTATCGGTGCATGAAGTCTGAAGAAGAATGTCGCGAGCCTCATAGAGAGATCGCAGTCGATCAGTCTGAAATTCCATCCCGTTATCGGCCTGAATACGAGTAACTTCCTGCTGAAACTGAGTGTGAGCCATATTGTGAAACAATTCAAGATACCGTTCTGTTTCAGACTTATACCGCATCAAATAAATCCAAGTAGCTCGACTGAAATTATCAACTATAGTCAAAAAATATTGAGCACCATCATGAGTAGGGGTCTTAAAACCACCCCAAATATCCACATGAATCATCTGAAAACAACGAGTAGTCTTGATAGTACTCTTAGGAAAAGGAAGTCGAGTCTGCTTCGCGCGAATACAAGAATCACAAGAGTCAATCGCGCATTTATTCTGAATAGAATCAAACAAAAACTTGGTTTTCTCTGCTGATGGATGCCCCAAACGCGAATGCCAAATTTCATCCATCCGTTGACCACCAATGGACGCAGCCAAGGCCCTCGATCTGTTGCCCCCAAACAACTGAAGATAATAAAGACCGTCGCGAAGCTTCCCACTACCAATCATCCTCTTGGAGTGTAAGTCCTGAACGACGCAAAAATCGTGCAAAAATATCAATGCTACGTCAAAATCTTTCGTCAACCTGCTGACAGATAGGAGATTGCATTTAAAGAGTGGTATATTCAACACGTGACTGAGTTTCATCCCTCGGGACAGCCTAACATCTCCAATTCTGGTTACCGGAATACTCTCACCGTTAGGTAATTTAACCGGAAGATAACCTGTGACATTTTCTGAATTCTCCAATATACTAGTATCATTGGTGATATACTCATTGCAACCAGAGTCGATAACCCACTCAGTAGAACAGAATTCCTTACCAGCCATGTTTGCCGTGGCTTCTGGGTTCGAAGGAGCGCCTTGACTACCTGTCTGACTTAGGAACTGGACGAGTTGTTGAACTTGCTCGCCAGAGAGACCTGGGATTTTAATCCCAGCCGCAGAAGGCGCGGAAGCCTGGGCAGCTCGAGGTGTCTCCTTCCGTTGTGGACGCTTGCTACTCTTCTCCGTTGACCGCCCCTTCTTTTCTTGCCACCAATCTGGATAACCTATAAGCTCAAAACAGTTCTCTTTGGTGTGTCCAGACCTCAAGCAATGCGGACAGCGGATCTTCTCCCCTTTATCGCCCTTGTCATCACGCCGACCCTCACGGTCTTGCCGAACTTGGAAAGCTGCCGCATCCACTACGGGACGACGACTAGCAGCAATGTTTTTGTGCTGCTCCTCCGTGGAAACCAACAGGTAGGCTTCCCCAATGTTAGGCGTAGGTTTCATGGACAATATTTGAGTCTTCACAGTCGAGAATGAATCATCAAGCCCCATGAGGAAATCAAACAACCTGTCGCTCTCTAGGTTGTCATGGACCCGTTTCTCAATATCACAAGTACACAAGCCGCAGATACATTTAGGGGTAGGTTTAATCGTCTGCATCTCATCCCAAAGACCACGGAGCTTGGTGTAGAACGTAGAAACCGAAAGCTTTTCTTGTCGCAACAGACCCATCGACTGTCGCAGCTCATACGCGCGCGGTGCCGAGCTCTGGCCAAAACGCGCTTCCAAGTCCACCCAAATTTCCCTAGCTGTCTTAGCATAGCGAATTGAGTTACGCACATCCTTCTCCATCCCTGTTTTCAGCCAACCCTTGACTAGGGCATCGCTTTGAAGCCAAGCTCCAATCCATTCTTCATTCGTCGGCTTTGTGACAGTCCCGTCAACAATGCCCATCTTGTTTTTGGCGATGAGGGCCTCAGACATATCTGTCACCCATTCATCGTAATTCGAATCGTTCAGTAGCTCCCCAACAAAGAGCTGACCCGGACTGTCCGATGCTAGAACTCTCAAGGCCGCCGGCATGCTCGACGGTGCTGTTCCACCAGACCCGCCACCATTCGCACCGAGGACCATGGTGCTGTTGTTCACGTCGGCAGTTCCACTAGTATCCGTCATAGGTTTGGATCGTCAAAGGACCTGCTCTGATACCATGTAAAAACTGAAAAGTAACGCAGAACACAAACGATTTACGTGGTATCCCCGTTCGATGTGAACGGGACTAATCCACGGAGAAGAAACTCTTCTCGGTTCTTTCTTATTATTATGACTGCTGCGTACAAATTACAAGGAGAATATGCAACCTATAAATACTTAACCCTAATGCCACAAAACCTAGGGCTAAGCCGTAGGAACCATAGTGGCAAAATGTCAAAATGGTCCCTACTAAAACACAGCGTATCCTTTACGCCGGTATCTATAAAAAAAATCTAGTGACCAATATTGTAGTGAAACAAAAAAATTGTTATCATATTAAATGAGAAGAAATATGAGGATAGAAGTGAGTTTTTTCAATTTTCAAATAGCCTTATTTCCCTATTCCTCTTTGTGCTACCGCTTCTCTCCTCTCTCGAGTGATCCGAAGGTTCTCCCAGTTGATAACCTTTTTGATGAGGTCGAGGTAATTTCGAACCACTAAGATGGTCGCGTATCTCTCAATAATTTTTCTTATCTCATCAAGGTGAACGAATTTTTTTGTAGTGTTTAATTTTTATCGACTCCATAGTCTAGACATTATCTGTGAATATTATTTATGAGTCTTTCTGATTTTTGTGTGGTACTTTGATAAGGAGATAACATATAAGCGATCATTTTGCAATTTGTTGGCTCTCAACTAGATGAAGAATCAACTAACTTTGTTCTTCAAATACACATATGGAGGTTCAATTTAATGTTATTTTTGTCCAAGGTAGTAGGTAGGGTGTCGCGGTCTGTTACGGTTTACTGCGGTAGACCGCGGTCCAGGCCACTTCAGACCACGCACTAAGGGAGGAGACTGCAAACCAGACCAGACCATAGTTCTGGTCTCACGGTCCAGACCAAACCATACGATACGGTCTAGACCGCGGTTTCCCATACGGTTTAGTCTGGATTCCCAGCCCTAGAATGCACACAAAAAAGTGAGTGCACCGAAGACACCACCATAAATAATAGTTCAATTAGCAATATAATTCATTAAATACAGATACTAAACGTGTTATACGGTTTTATATGTGTTTAGTACGAGAACCATCAAATGAACAAGAAAAAAAAATGAAACAGGTTAACAAAATTACGAATACAAAAGGTTTAAACTGATACAATTTGTACGACCATATATATTGTATTAAACAAAGTATTTAATAACTATTCTTTATTCTTCTCCACCTATCCGGTTCATCCTAAGGCTTACTTCCTCCAATAATGTATATAAAAATACGATGGAGTGTGGAGTACATTGCTGGCAGTTGATGAACATATATGAGCAGTATGCAATAGAAATTTATTTACTTATGTGACCACATTGAGTTAATTAACAATAACTATGGTGTCTTATGGTGTCTTATTATGTTGGTGGTCAGTTTGAGCCTTAGGGGTTTTGGGTTGTAATAAGTGAACAAATATTTTTACACTTTTGAGAAATTACAAGTTATTCAGGCAACAAACAATTACAGATTAAAAAAAATATTTATCAAGTTCAAATATTACATAGAGTTTGGTGATTACATGGCAAATGCCATAATCATTGATGGAATGAGGCAATATCCTTTGTTGTGAAGCATCTATGGATGACGAATGTAGCAGAGTTTATGATGAAGATTGTTGATTAAGAGGTGCTAACGATTATTTTTGCAACTATAATGAGGAAAATTCTTTTAGTAAAATTGATATCGTTATTTGTTAATTCGCATGACATTGACATATAATCTTAGCACAAATATAATAGAATTGCAGTTACTGAAATTTAAACTTTGAAACTTTATTAGTTAGTATCATCATAGTGCAACCGGCCAACAGGTCGGGGTACAATCTAGTTATTAATAATACAAGGTAGTGATTTGTGAAGGTACTGATCTAGTACTGATATAGTTGAACAAATGATATAATTGTTGTTCTACGCAAAAAAGTTACTGTGCTCATGGTCGACTTGGGAGCACGTACTCACATGTGCTTAAAGTTATTGGATCGGACGCGCAAAATTGTCATTGTTTCGATTCAACGATCGGAGTTCGTCTGTGCACAGTTACCTATACCAAGTGCCTGTCAGTACGTTCTCACAAAGCGCCATCGAGCACGTAACAGTAGAAAGCTGCAAATGAATAACCAAACAATCATTGTTACGAGGTTTTTGTTTTACAAATGTTTTGAAATCATAGGATTGTTTAGTAGGAATCTGTAGCACAATTGTCTCCATGACTAAGTAATTAGGCCACACATAGTGAGTATAACTCCATACTTCCTAATTCTGTCATCAGAGATTATGTATTGATCATCACATTTCCATATTTCTTTCTCGCAGGCGAAAATCTCCGACTTAGAAGGCAAAGTAGTGGCATTATACTTTTCAGCAAACTGGTACCCGCCATCCCGCAACTTCAACCAGTTCCTGATTGGCGCCTACCAGCAGCTCAAATTTACAAACCAGCCCAATTTCGAGATCGTTTTCGTCTCCTGCGACGAGGACCTGAACGCATTCAACAATTACCGTGCAGGGATGCCTTGGCTCTCGGTCCCATTCTCCGATCTCGAGACCAAGAAGTCGTTGTCTCGGAAATTCGAGATCGAAGGGATTCCCTGCCTTGTGATCCTGCAGCCCGGGTCAGGGAAAGATGTCGAGGAAAATGCGCTAAAAAACGGCGTCGAATTGTTGCATCGATTCGGGGTGAATGCATTTCCATTCACCAAGCAGAAGCTGGAGCAGCTAGAGAAAGATGAGAAGGAGAAGCATGACAGCCAGACGCTCGTTAATTTGTTGACCAATCGTGATCGAGACTACGTTTTGAGTCACCATGGAGCGAGACAGGTACTAAAAGGTTTTGCATAGCTTTCAAATTGATGGAGATGGAGATAGATAAATTGGTGGGCGATTCGGACTAGACGTAATTGCTACGTTTATTTATCACTAGACCAATACCTTGTTGTTACGTAATTTGAACTTATGGATGCAACTGCCTGCAGGTGCCGGTAGCATCACTAGTAGGCAAAACGATCGGGCTCTACTTCTCGGCTCAATGGTGTCTGCCCTGCGAGAAGTTCACCCCAAAGCTCGTCCCAATCTACCACAAGATCAAGGCCAACGACGACGACGAAGACGACTTCGAGATCGTGTTCGTGTCGAGCGATCGCAACCACGAATCGTACGCCTCCTACTTCTCCTTGATGCCGTGGCTGGCGCTCCCTTTTGGGGACGCCAACATCAGGAGCCTCGCGAAGCACTTCGACGTACAGGGGATCCCCTGCCTCGTGATCCTGGGTCCCGACGGCAGGACCGTCACAGCGAAGGGGAGGAGCCTCATAAACCTGTACCAGGAGAATGCATTTCCCTTCACCGAATCGAAGGTGGAATTGTTGGAGAGTCAAGTGGATGAAGAGGCCAGGGACTTGCCGAGGAAGAAGCTCCACGGTGGGCACAGGCACGAGCTGAACTTGGTGTCGCAGGAGAATGGCGGCGGGGCGTTCATATGCTGCAATTGTGAGGAGCAAGGGGTAGGGTGGGCGTACCAGTGTTTGGATTGTGGGTATGAGTTGCATCCAAAGTGCGTGAGGGTGGTGGAAGATCATGCTGTGCCTGAGGTTGCAAGCAATGGCTGAGAAAAAAACAGAGAGAGATAGAGAGGGTTTGATGTTCTATGGTTAATTCCAGCTGCGTTTTGCTAATTACCTTCGACACTTCTTCTTCTTCTCCTTCAGAACTGGTCTGATTTCTGGTTTTGCATAGCAAAGCTTGATTAGCCGCGACTTTGTGGGGTTGGAGCATCTCTAATCTTTCTTGCCCAAGAGAAACAAGGGTCTCTTTGGTGTACATGGGTAGTGTTAAATTAATTGCAAGTAAGGAACTTCCTCCATCTCTCTGTCTACGGTTTAGCTCTATCAAATTTTCCTTTTTATTATGTCAGTTTCACAAGGATAGTCTAATAATATATTGTAGACTCTATATGTGGTTGAATTGATAATTATAGGGTTAGGGTTTAAGGTTTAGGAGGTTCAGGGTTCACGATGGGATTTAGTCTTTACAATTGATGTTTAGAAGGTTTAGTGTTCAAGATATAGGATTTAATGTTTATAGTTCAGAGTTTAGGGTAGGTTAACAGTTCAGATTTAGTATACTAGCTTAAAATGCTTGCTAAATTTCTAAATTCGTGCTTATATAAGTCATTAGAACTCTTCCTATCGATCGAGCTACTTTGTTCTTCTTCTCTCAAAGTAGGGAATTGATGCATTGCCAGTCATTTTTCGCAGCTTCTACTGCAGAAGTGGAGTGCTTATTATATGTAGCATATGAAGCTACCAAATGATGTTGGTGACGTGGATCACCAAAGATTCTGTCATTTTCCACCATGGTAATCTCCGAGGATATTACGTTGGATAAATGATGTATCCGATGTTGGTTTGTTTGGAAGTCTGATGATGGTGTTGTGCTAGTTGGCTCTGTCTGTTCCTTTCCTGTGTTGGTAGAATCGACTGAAGCCCAATCCTCCATCTACAACTATATATGCCTCCGCAACACAAAGTAACTAAAATAGCAGTACTGGAAATTCCTCGTTCAACTCTCCCACAATCCACGGTGAAGGCAGGCCGAGCTTTTACACAGGAAATACGCACCATGGGCATCGCAGCCTACCGCACCAGCTTTCTTTGCCTCTCCATTGCCGTAGCTTTCCTCCTCTTTCCCCTCTGTGCCACTGCAGAAAGTAAATCCAACATTAATAACTATCCAAAATTGCAGAATTCTGTCTCCTTACTATTAATCCCCTCTAACACCATGTAAATGATGCATTAATTGCAGACCCCTTGACCAACGTCAACCTAAGCCCCTTCTGTGAGTGGAGAAGCGCATACGACTGCATGCAAAATGTAAGCCGTCCCCGTGAGTGTGTTCTCGAATCCAATGACGTTAGGACGTGCTAATTAGACATGCGCCGTGTCCTCTCCTTTTGTTTTACATGTGTACTTCTCAGTTCTCGAAGAGCTGCGAGGGAAAAGACGTGCTGACTCTGGCAGGAGTGGTGGACGTGAACGACACAGAGGTGGGAGAGTACTGCAAGGAAGGAGGGTGCTGGAAACACACCACCGACGTTCTCTACTGCATCTCGCTGGTGAAGAGGGACTTCTGGTTCTCAAACAAGGCCACCGTCTCCGCCCTCACCAACGCCATCCACAGCGGCTGTCAGTCCATGACCAGTTTCAGCACCGCCAACTACACGGTGGCCACCAGCGGCGCCACCGCTCGATTAATCGTCTCCCGCTCTAGCTACTACTATCTGCCCCTCTTCATCTCCATGTTCTTAGTCGCCACCCATCTCTTCTGAAACATCTCACATTTTGCATATGCAAAATAATATCTAGTAGTGTCTGTACCAAAAATAATTTCACAGCAAGGTAATGGTATTATCGGATTTGGATAACTCAGTCTCTCTGTTGTACTTCGGTAGCTGTTTATCATAATTTGAGTGTGTTAAGGAGTAAAAACTTCAAATGATGATCATGTTAAACGAGAAAACAATTAGGAGAGGACTCAGAATTACCCAATGTAGAAAGATGTATCATTCAACAGTCAAGCAACAATAAAATTGCGCATACTATATCATCATCGGCCTCGGATGAGTGGGAAGCTGCCATTTTTATATTTTATCAAGTGAAAAATGTAGTTGTCTACCGATGTGGTACTAAAGTAGAGCCTTACCTTAAAAAGGTTCCTTTGCGAGTACAAAATGGGGCAGGTCGAAGGAAGAAGGCGCCATGAGAGGACTCTGTGGCTAATTGGTCCGGTGTGGTTAGGCAAACTGGAGCAGCTTTCAGGAAACAAGTGCTTTAGGCATCAAGACGTCGAGCTGTTGATCAACCAGGTGTGTATAAGAATTTTGATTACGGGCACAAGGTTTTCGGATTGTTGCAATACAATCAGACGGTGTAAGCGACCCTGCGATGTCGGACACCTAATAGATACTATTGAACAACAACTAGTATACAACATTTCCTCAACATCTAACACCACCCAAAGCCCTGGCCTGATGGAAGCAAAAACAAGAAATAAAGTTATTCAAAATGGAGCAAAATCTCTTTGTATGGTACTGGCTCTTCTCTGTGCTTCGAGGTAGAGAATGAAGCAGTCTACAATCTACACCAACTTCTGCAGCTGGATGAAATCAAAACAACCATAAGCTTGTTAGAGACATCACAAATAGTTAAATACAAACCGCTGATTGAAACAAATTAGCTCTCCTGAACCCCGATCACATAAAACTTTACCTTCATAACAAGGTACTAAAACCTAAAACCTAACTAATTTTAGGGATTTCAGTTCCTAAAGTTGTAGCAAAAACTCGGGCATTACAATTCATGAAGGCTTTTGATAACATAACGATTTCTCCCCAATGATACAAAGAAATTATTCTATTTCTTTTTAGAAAATTCGATTCACATTTTCACTTTGGGCAGCGAGCAGCAGCTGAAATTTCACATTGCTTTGAACTAGAGGAAGATTCCACTAAGAAACAGCAGTTACCTTCTATCTGACCTTGTACTCTCCGAGGTGCATCCACTTGGTAGCTGACCATTTGTTCCCTATAATCACTGGGCAACTACCTGAGACAAACCAACGAAATGCACTTCAGAAAAGAGAGAAATACTTGATTTCTTTTTTTCAACAGTTGGCATATAAAAGAGAGTAGATATACCATGTAAACTGGAAGGATCTAACGAGGCATCGGGCCTTGTGCTCCAAAATAACAAAGCATTCCCCATCTTCGGTTTCAGGGAAAGACCCTTTTTACCACATTCAGACAGTTCATCCCACCATGGCACCGTACTGGAATTTGCCTTAGCACTAGGAAAGACGGTTTCGCCTCCTTCTTCAACGTCTGACCTGGATCGAAACACCAGAGACACAGTGAATAGGAAGTCACAGTAATGTTTCACAATATGGCAGAAGGCAGATAAGTACGCCAACAGAGCGATGAAAACATGGTGACCATAGGAAAGATAACACTCACAGATACATTAGCAGAGTAGCAGTCCGCTGCCCTCCATTTTTGGTGTTGAACTCATCAAGGAAATAATCGAAGTGTGGCTCGTACTTCTGACCGATTTCATAGTGGAGGATTTGGAGTCCTTCACCATTATCTGCAGTATATAGTGACATGGAATTCATACAATGAGTGAAGCACCTCACAATAGGAGAGAAATGGGTAGGAGAGAAATGGGATAGGCTTTATGAAGTGGATAACATTGATATGGGAAACATAGAGCTGAATGCTGAGGATGCTTTCGATAATTTATCAATGGAAGTCTAGTGCAATATACAAAAACATTTAATAAATTCTTCCGCCATTGTCTGCATATAATGGAACTATTTCCATGAAGCAGAAAGGTGCACAGTCTAGGGGACACTGGAAATTGTTACGGATGTAGCTGATACTAACATTGGAAAAAATGGTGGTTGTGATGGTTTAGACCCCATGACCTTTCATCATTGGAAGCCCTAATTTTATGAAATCTATACTTCAGATGCATCGTACCTGCAGGAATTAACGAGAAATCTGCGATTCTCTTCTCTATGGCCCTAATTATTTTATCCTGTCCTCGCCTCAGGAACATCCCTGAGCTTGTGCGAACCCTGCAAGTAAAAGGAGTTTTTGCAAGGTCAACCTAACTAACTTATCAACTGAATCTATATGAAAAAGAAAGAACAATATAAGAAGTATTCCAAACACTCCTGAGATCTGCCAAATATTCAGGAAATGTAGGTAACAGCACCTGCTATCTTTACTCTTCCCTGTTTTGCTGTCCACCACGGTTGATTTTGTCATGTGAGGCTTAGCAAGAGAGATTAGGTACTCACATTCTTCTTTGGACTGTTGAAATTAGAATCCAGTATTAAGAATCACTATCATTGGAAGTAATGAGCATGGAATAAGGCAATGCAACTGAACAGCATAGAAGACCTCCACACAAGGGCATTACTAAATGCCTAATCAATTGAACTTCCTCCACCTATATTACTCTAAAGAAAGGGAAACACCAACCTATAATTCCACTAGAAACTACAAAACGAATTTCAGAAATAAGCAAAGATTACACTGAATCTGCTGCAGCTCAAAACTACAAACACAATTCTTCCTCTATCTAAATCTTATACCCGTAAAACTCGATCTATGCATGAAAGCTGACGCCAGAAGAAAAGCATATTGGAATCAGCAGCTTGAAATTAGATTACTAAAATCAAGAGAATTCTTCTTCTATAAGAGCTCGTATTAGCTTAACTCTAATACATGAAATAAATGCTAAACCAAGAAGATGGATACATCGCTCAGCCAGCCAAATACATTTATCTAAGCAATTGAACCTCCTCAATCTAGATTAGTCTAAAGAAAGGAGGCACAATACAAGCATCCAAGCTATGATTCCATTCCAAGCTACCGAAATTCCAGTAATAAGACGAGGAAGATTAAACCCCTATCAGCTACTGATCAACATTCCAAGAACACAATAGATTCTTCCTCTATGAAATTGCATAGTAGCAAAGCTCAGTCTATGAAACGAATAGCAGAAACTATAAGAGATCTAACAGCAAATCATCAGTAGCTTGAAATTATAAAACCACAAGAGAACTATTCCTCTCTATGGAATCTCATACTAGCAAACTCCAATCTATGATGATGAATGCTGAACCTAGAAGATGGATCCATCGGCTCAAACAGTCAAATGCATTTTCCAACCTATTAAACTTTCACAACCTATATCACCCTAAAGCAAAGCGCATCTAAGCTAGAAGTCCATTATAAGCAACAGCGAAATTCAAACCATGAAGATTACGCTTGAATCAGCTAACAGCTCAAACTAACGAGCACTCAAGAGAATCCTATCGCAACGGAATTCATACACTGGTGAGCAAATCGTTCTATGAATCTCCGAAGAAAACTAGATTTGAATCAGTTGTAACTCAAAATGTATCTCATACTAGCACGAATGCAGAAGCTATGGCTCGGAAAATGAACTCACCAAGAAATTGTGATACAGGAAAGCTCTAGGCTCCCAAGAAACGATCTCAGTCCACTGCTCTCCTCGCTTTCCTAGCCCGTCGCCATCTCTGCACCAACGCAAAACGGTTTCAAAAAAAAAATTCAGCACATCAAATCGAAACCTAATTGACTGAAACTCAAGCAATCACAGACCGCCGTCGCGCTCTCACTCTCGCTTACCGTTCGGCGGCCATGCGGCGGTAGGAAGCAGGCAGATCGTTGGGAGTCGAATCGTCGGTGCTCACAGGGAGCGAGAAGATTCCTAAGCCTAAGAGCATGAGGAGAACGAGCGAGAGCATGAAGAGCATGGAGAGAACCAATGTGAATGTCGACCATTTCTTCGAATGCAATCGCGAGTGCCTCAACTTCGCCATTTTCCCTTCGCTCGAGGAGCTCTAAGAAGCGCCGGTGATCATCCGCCGCAGTAGCAGCGACAGCGTTTTCTTGAATATGCAAAGTTTCGCTGGAGAATTTTGTGAGCTGTGCTGATTTTTGAAGAATCGCGGCAGAGAGAGGAGGAGCTGTCGTGAAGAAATCTGGAACTGTAATGGCTGTCTCTGTTCTTCTGTTGTATAGCGAGGAGTTGCAGGGATTTCAGCATTTATAGTGTCTAGATTTCAGGGAGTGAACTGAAACTTTTTTGTACGCCAGCCAAAACATTTCCGAGCGTGAGCGAAACGGAAGCGGAGAGCGGTTTTAGACATTTGATACCAGTTTACTACTTTGTTTTACATTCAAGGCTGCGGCGCTGTCGTGCTGTGGGCAGCACCTGGTTTTTGTTGAGGGAAATTGGGTTAATTGCATGGTTGGTCACTGAGATTACAAAAAACGTTTATGTTTGGTCACTGAAAATATTTAAATCCAATCTTGGTCACTCAAATTAGTTAAATGGTTCAAGTTTGGTCACTCTCCGTCCAACTCCGTTAAATATGTCTGATGTGGCAGTCAACCCTCAAAGTTGACCGTTAACTCGGTGACGTGGCAATTAAAAAATAATAAATAAAATAAATTTTAATCTTCTACCATTTCCAACTCAACCCGTCGCCGGTGAGCTTTTCCCCGTATGGCTACCTTCCCTAATCTCTCCACTCACATATGAGACTTCCGCCACATCATTGTTGAGTGTTGACCATAACCATCGCAATCACAATATCCGCCGCCGTTCTCTACTTCCTCGGAAATCTCCGAAGAACCAAATCGCCGCCTGGTCCACGTGGGCTGCCGGTCGTCAGGTACCTCCCGTTCCTCCGCCGCAACGACCTCCACCGGCAGCTCACTTCCCTGGCTGAAACCCACTGCCCAATCTACACAATCCAGGGCCTCAACAGATCCCTGGTCGTGGTCAGCTCCCCGGATCTGGCGAAAGAGGTCCTTCGGGTCAACGAGTCCATCTTCTCGACCCGCCCGATCCCGATTGTGGGCCGGATCTTAACCTACGGCGGGATCGGCCTCGCCAACCTGCCGTACGGCCCCGATTGGGCCGGGCTGCGGAAGGTCATGTTCCGGGAGGATCTCAGCAGTGGGGCCCTGGACACGTGTCACGCGCTGGGCAGGGGAGCGGTTGAGGCGGGGGTGCGGGAGATTCGCGTCGGTGAGGCGACGGGGGTGTTCGATGCGGCGATGAAGGTGGTGGTTGATTCGACCCTGGCCATGTTCTGGGGCGGCGGCGGGGAGGGAGGAGGGGCGCCGCCGAATTTCGCGGCGGAGTATCGGGAGGCGACGAGGGAGATGACGGAGCTGTTGGGGCGGGCGAATGTCCGTAGAAGCAAGCAATCGTCAAAGTTTTTCTTAGTCTACAACTCTAACCCGTCGCCGGTGAGCTTTTCCCCGAATGGCTACTTCCCTAATCTCTCCACTCACAGATGAGACTTCCGCCACATCACTGTTGACCATAATCATCGCAATCACAATATCCGCCGCCGAATCTTGGTCACTCATTTCCAACTCATTTTTATTTTATTTTACTTTATTGTGAAAATGAGTTGGAAATGGTAGAAGATTAAAATTTATTTTATTTATTATTTTTTAATTGCCACGTCACCGAGTTAACGGTCAACTTTGAGGGTTGACTGCCACATCAGACATATTTAACGGAGTTGGACGGAGAGTGACCAAACTTGAACCATTTAACTAATTTGAGTGACCAAGATTGAATTTAAATATTTTCAGTGACCAAACATGAACGTTTTTTGTAATCTCAGTGACCAACCATGCAATTAACCCAGAGAAATTTGTTGGACAAAGAGTCACAGACTGATTCGCGGGAGAATTCCCAAAATATTGTTTTTTTTTATTTACCACCAATATTGTGGTTTTAAATATATTTACACAGATATTGCCTATGTTTGGCCCGGCTTTTAGAAGTGCTTTTCGGCTTCAAAAGCTTAAGCAGGGCCAAACACCTCTAAAAGCTCGGCTTTTGAAAAGCCGAAAAGCGCTTTTGTATAACATAAAAGCAGAAGCTCCGATTTGGAGCTTCTGCGAAAAGCTGTTTTGAAAATACAAGATTATCCTTACCATATTTTAATTTTATTTCAGAAAATATAATTTTCCTTCATTTATATCATTTTAAAAATAAAATAAATTATAAAATCATATTATTTAATATAAAAGAAATCTAACAAGATCCATTTTGACTACTTTTTATTGTTTCGAATTTTTATTTATATTTTATATTATAAGTCCTTTATAGTCATTTTACACAACCGCTCATATTAAAAAGCACTTCTAATAGTTTTACAGCCAAACACTAAACTGCTTTTTTTGAAAAGTACTTATCTAAAAGCTCCAGCCAGAAGCTGCTTCTGCAAAAGCTACAGCAGGGCCAAACTAAGCTATTGTGTTTTTGTGGGGAAAGAGATGCGGGCTCGCAGGAGACTTAATTTTACTAGTTTGAAATGCGGATCCAAAATGGACTTGTGTGGACCCGCGTAGAACTGGTGCGGCTCGCGTGGGACTGGTGCGGAAACGCATGGATTCAGCGGACCCGCATTAGTCTCATGCGGATTCGACCTGTGTTTTACCCCACTCTAGCATATATATTTTCTCCTCCATTCTCCTCTTTCAGTATCACCATACCAAAAACTTCTACGAAAACGAGAGGGAGGAGCTCTGCTGGTTGTTGCAAAGATGGCTAGGTAAGAGACATTTATTTTTGTAATTATATTATTAAAATGCTATTATAATTTTTTTTAGATAGTAATTAGTGCATTTGTTTGTTATGTAGTGATTTTAGGAAATTTGAACTAATTGTTTGGTGGAAATCGGAGAAAGTAGACGACAATTTCGGCGTTCATTTCGTTGGTGGTAGAAGGTTTCAGTTGACAGTTCCATGTCGGGTGACATATCATCAATTTTGTTAGAATCTAATCCCGAGAATACGACGTAGAGACGAAGCAGTACAAGATAGTGATATGATCACAGGTTTCACTTACCGTCTTCCAGAATGGCAGAATGGTGTTCTATTTCATTATGCGATGCCTATTGTGGATGATGATTGTTTGAATGTGCTTTTCAATTTTATGGCACAAAATCCTTATTGTTTGGGTGCTGAGGTACATGCTGAGATTAGTCAGGCTGATCAGGATGAAAATGATACATGGAGTGTGCCATCTGACCATGATTATGAGGACAACGACGAGGAGGAGGAGGAGGAGGAGGAGGAAGATGGGGAAGAAGAGCAGCCTAACTTTCCTCCATATTTTTACTTGCAGGCTACTGAAGAGGATGATGAATTATCATATGTTGATTCATATGGGGTAATTCCAATGCCTATCGTTACTGGTTTTGAAGGGGAATTCTACAAAGGCCAGATATTTCACTCGAAACAAGCTGCACAGGTGGCGGTTAAACACAACGCACTACAACGCAACTTTCAGTATGGCGTGGTGGAGTCGTCACCTTCAATCTGGAAGGTTAGATGCTTGAAGCATAAGGATGAAAATTGTCCTTGGATGGTGCGGTTTGGATGTCGAGACGTTGGAAGTGAATGGACTGTGAGGAAGGTCGAGTTGGTGCATTCTTGTAGCAATACGACTCAACCGACAGATCATCGCCATCTTGATGTCGACGTTATATCTGAGTCAGTGAAACATTTGGTACGTGCCCAACCTAATCTGAGTGTTCTAACTGTGCAAGCCGAGATGAAAGATAAATTTAATATGCAAGTTACTTATAAGAAGGCTTGGTATGGGAAACAAAGAGCATTGGAGAAGTTGCATGGAAATTGGGAAGAATCCTATGATTATTTGCAAACATTCTTGCGGGTGGTAAAGATAAAAATGCCAACATCAGTTATTGATTGGATAAGAGTTCCTTCAGCTCAACCAGGTCATTCGATCTTTCAGCGAGTATTCTGGGCTTATGGACCTTGTATAGATGGATTCAAGAATTGTCCAGGAGTCATGGTTGTTGATGGAACCTTTCTTGCTGGAAAGTGTAAAGGAGTGCTACTCATGGCGAGTTCATTTGATGGCCGGAAGAAGATTTTTCCAGCAGCATTTGCCATTATGGAGAGCGAGAATACTGAAAGTTGGCCATGGTTTATAAATCACGTTCAAGGTTTGACCGATCGAAATGACGTATGCATCATCTCAGATAGACATGCGGGACTCTATGAAGCCATGGGTGACATCGGAAGAGGTTGGGAGTGGAGGTGGTGCATGCGACACTATGCAAGCAACTTGAAAAAGAAGACAAAAAGCAAAATTATGTATAACCAACTGTTTCGAGTCGGTAAGTCTCTTCATCGTTATTGATTGACACTCCAACATATTATTTAATTTAATTTAATATTATCATGAATTTATCTAACTCTTGTGGTTATTTATTTTGTTAGCCTGAGAAAAACGCTTGGAGAAGTTCGATCGTCAAGTTGAGCAATTTAAGAAGATGGCCGCTGAAAGAAATATTTTTTGTGATAAATGGGTGGATCAAAATTAAATTCGTTGGAGCTTAGCACATGATAACTATAATGGTGGGACTCGATGGTCTATGATGACGACCAACATGGCAGAGAGCATCAATAGTGTTTTCAAAGGTATTCGTTCACTTCCTATAGCTTCTCTTGTGCAACATACTTATTGGCGATTATTGGAGAAATTCGATAAGATGAGGTTGGAGACAGAAGCACAAATCAGAAGTGGATCTTCACAGTACACAATCAAGTGCGAAGAGAAGATGAAGACATGGTCACAAAAGGCAGTGGGACATTCCGTGACGGGGGTTGATCGACGTCAGGGCATCTATGTAGTACAGACTCCTCCCAACAATTTCAACATGACGGGTTCGAACACACTCACAGTGCATTTCGATGACCACAATCGAGCGGGATTTTGCACTTGTGGGAAATTCCAAGTAAATAAAATTCCTTGCTCTCATGCCATTGCAGCTTGCAACTGAATGGGGGCTAACCCGTATAGGTTTGTAAATGACATCTATAAGCTGGAAACAGTATTGGCTTGTTATGGGACAAGTTTCACACCTCTTGGTGAACCTAAGGGGTGGAAGAAGCACAATGATTCTACTCTCCATCCTAATGTGCACATGATTAGGAAACCGGGGAGGCTACGAACAACAAGAATTCACAACGAGATGAATTGGCCAAGAGAGGAACTAGATGGACATGATGCATCAACTTATGGTGGAGGAGCAAGTGGCAGTGAGAACCAACGAAGAGGAAGTGGTAGACGTGTGAGAGGTGGTAGAAGAGGAAGTAGTGGTAATAGACATGGTATGTAATTGTTTGATGTTGTTATGGTTTGAACGTGCGAGTGTGTAATTGTTTGATGTTTGTTATTGTTTTTCGAGGTATATGTAATGGGTTGATGTTGTTATGGTTGGAACGTGCGAGTGTGTAATTGTTTGATGTTTTTTATTGTTTTTCGACGTATATGTAATGGATTAATCGATGTTGTTATGGTTTGAACGATTGAGTGTGTAAATAGTCCACCATAATACATAATAATCATACATGACATGAAATAAAAAGTAGTCCACCATGATACTTAATAATCCTACATGACATGAAATAAATAGCCCACCATCATACATAATAATCCTACAAGACATGAAATAAATAGTCCACCATCATACATAATAATACTAACGACCTCCACCACGACGACCACCACCAAGAGGATCCACAAGATGACCGCCAGTACCACACAACGGTGCATGTCTGTCCCGTACTGGCCTGCCCTGATCGTGCTGAGGCTGATCTCTGTCATCCTGATCCTGTGTACCGAACAAACCATCTATCCGAGACTGGGGATGCTCGTCTGGTGCATCTATCTGAGACTGAGGATGTGATAGACCGTTAATTGCACATGTTTTTACCCCAATTCTTGAGCCGTTTAAGATGTTGATTCTCGTGTTTTAGGCCGATTTCACGCTAGGTTGTTCTTGTTTGTGATATTTCAGGTCCTAGTACGTGAATGAAGGTTTGGGAGCGAGTTTGGGGTCGATTGGACGAAGATCGGACGTGTGGCGAGGCGCTGAGGAAGCCACACGGGCACTCCTAAAACCCACTCGGCCTTGCAAGTCACCAATGTGGCCGTGTGGGATTTAGCGAGGCTTCACACGGGCATGCTGGAGATTCCACACGGTCGTGTGCCCTTGCCCGTGTAGGTAGCCTGAAGTCCATTTATTCGAAACGCCGCGTTTTGGCAATCACATGGGCAGCTGGGTAAGCCACACGGCCGTGTGGCCTGGCCGTGTGATCGGGAAAAGCTGGGTTTTAACCCAATTTCGAGCAAAAGGTGAGAGGATCGAATTTTTGGAGCAAAAACAGAGCCCTAGAGAGAGAAAGTGCGAAGAACACATCCTAAGAGTGGTTTTGGAGCTGGGTTTCATCAAATCAAGCTTGG